GAGGCAGAACTCTCTCTGACTGCTGGCTGAGGAAGACGTGCTGCTGAAAGAGACACGTGCTGCTGGGAAAGAGATGCGAGAGACACGCATCACTGAGTGAGACACTGAGGGACCAGCACTGCTGGGAAAGAGACTGTTAGAGACTGTTGGCTGAGGGACGATGGGCTGGGAGAGACTGAGCATTTTTCCTGAACTTGTATTGTAGCCTGTGGTGCTTCCCTAATAAACCCCATAATCTGTGAGCTCTGTGTGGCCACTGCAGCAAATTATCGAACCTAGGAGAGAGGTGGTGGGTGCTTTGGGAGGAACGGTTAGAGAAAGGGCTGGAGTGGGGGAGGCAGCATGCCTGGCCTGGCAGGAATAGGCATTGGGTTACTGCTGGTAATCCTGTCTTCCTCTTGTGGGGTTAGAGGAGGTCAGAACATGTGGCCTCCTTGCTGCTTTAGCAGGGTGGGATACAACACTTACAGATTCACAGCCCTGATCCAACATTAAGGAAATTTCCCTGGAGGATGGCTTGCATTACCTTTATCTTATCAAAGGAGAGAGAATTGAGCAAGGAGGGACCTGACTACTACCAAGAAAAAAGAGCTGGGAGCAAAGCACATCCTTTGGACCTGGAGTCTCTATGATGAGAAACTCCTAGACCCAGGGGAAGACTGATGCCAAGCCATACGCAGATTTCCAAAGGGAGCTGGGCCACAGATACTGAAAGGAGACAAAGACCTTCCTCCAGAGTTGACAAAGAGAGGAGTTGGTGCTCTGAATTTGGATTTCTGCCTCACGAAAATAGTATTTATTTGTTAAAGCCATTCACTTGTGATATTTCTCTTATAGCAGCAATAGATAAATAAGGCAGTGGTAAACAACTTTTAAGGTGACCTTGCCTCTACATGCTGTCATAAAGAAAACATAAGTTAATCTTTGTAAATTAGCCTTGAGACATAAATCTAAACAACCTCCCTAATTTCTAACCTTGAAGAGAAGATGTGACATTGGGCTAATCTCTAACCCTGGAGAGAAGACATAACATACTAGTCTTTGATGTCACACTGACTCTTGTTGTGTGAGAGAAGGCAGAGACAAAACCTCCTTCTAGAGTCTGACTCTTTCTGATGAGACTCTGGACTGAGATTGTCTGCCTCCTCCTACCTTGGATCCTGACTACGAGGGATATCTCTACCAACTGTGGTCAAGCCTTCCTCCCAAGACCACTTGTAAAAGGTAAAAGCCTGAAGTCTAAGGAATGAGACTCTACCCATGGAACTAACATTGTAATCGTCAATTCTGATTCTTAGGTTCTAAACAAATGATGTGAAGTCTACTTGCATGCCTTGCCATGACTTTCTTGGAATAAACTAAGTGAATATATATATGATAAACCTGAGTATCTATTAATTACTAAGATAAACTCCTACATGGCAAGCACCATCCCTATATGGGGTGGGGTTTGGGAGGGGCTAGAGGAACCTCTGAGACCCAGACAAGGGTCAGCCTGCTGGACAAAGGTCTAAGGAAGGGGCTGGTCCTGGGGACTGGTGAGACCCTGCCTGGGGTGGGAACGGGGTGAGGGAAGAGGTGGTGGGAGTGTGGCTTAAAGAGGCCCCAGATAGGCAGTGACCAACCTTGACCCCCAAGAGGAGGGTGGGTGCCTGCAGAGGCTGTTCTGACAGGTGAAGGGGCAGTTCCAGCTCCTGAGGCTGTGGGAGGTCTGCTTTTGGGAGCCAGGAGGGGACCACAAGGGGAGAATTGGGGCAGGGGCATGAGAGACAGGTTTTGACCCCTCCAAAGTCCCGTGTTCGCTCTAGGGACCCCAGATGCTGGGGTCTGACAGATGGCTGGCCTTAGGATGAACACAGGAGGCTCTTGCCCATTTGCTTGGCTCAGTTGGGAGATGTCTGCTCAGCCGAGTTCAGGTTTATTGGCGGAAAATGAAGAGGAAAACCAGGCCACTGGCTCCTGAGAGCAGAGCACTGAGGAGTAAGTTAGATCTAACCAGAGCTAGTTCACCGTCTTCCCAGTAGTCTAGGCCTTTGAGCTTGCACTCCCTGTTCCGGGGTGCCAGGTCTGCACTTGGCCTGTCCACCACCCCCACTCCCACCCCAGGGCATTGGAGCTTGAGACTCCTGCTGCACACTAATGGCCATCTCAGGATTCAGAGGCCTGAAGCAGGTGGGGCCTTGGGAGGAATAGCTGGCTGCCCCATCAGACCCTGTGGGTCCTGTGCTGAGACATTCAGCAGGAGATGGGGCAGAGGTTGGATGGAACACTCAGTGGGGGCCCCATTCTAGCCCAAGAGGGGCCGTCTCGTACCAGGCCAGCTCACAGACTCCAATGGAAGCTTCCCTGGACTGGTGTCTGGTCTAAGCCCTGGGGGGCAAGGGCTCCACGACACCCGGGGCTGGGATGGGCAAAGGCCAGAGTCCCATTGAGTACCCATTTGGACATCTAGAGTCGGGAAGGCTAAGGGCACTGGGGAATATGGGACCCATGGTTACAACCCCCAGTGGCTCCCCAGGAGGTAGTGGGCAGGCAGGTGGACACCAGTTGGTAGCTCTGAGTGGTACAGGTGCACAGTCCTCAGCAGGCCCAGTTTTTTTTTAAACTATGAGTTAAATCTGTTTCCTGAACAATTAGCAATCATGTGCATGGAGTTTAAAAAAAGTCGCTAACACTTGTCCATGTTTTCCGTGGTGTTCACCTCCAGAACAACAGCTGGGACAGAACTAGGTTGTGACAGGAAGAAATTTACAATTCAGCCCCTGGTATGATTCCTGACTGCTGCTGGCAACATAGTCCTGTCGGCCTTTCTAAGCACCCATTTCCTCATATCCTCATCTGAAAAATGGAGAGGTGAATGCACTAACTCACCAAGTTACATACAGGTACTCCATGTAAAAATGGCTGGCATGGCACCCGAGACCTTGTTATTGGCAACCCTTGGGAACCAGGAGGCAGGACCTCATCTGTTCCCCCTAGTGCCCCAATCCTGGGCTCTTTCCATGAACACCATATGCGCAGAGGACATTAGCCCGGGCTCTAAGACAGCAGAGAACTCATACCTACTGGTAATCAGATCTCTTAACTCCTACCAAGTAAAAGGGGGAGAAGTGGCTATGTCACAGACCACAAGATCTGCTCCCAACCTCTTTTGCAGTCCAGACTTTACTGAGACCCCTGGCAAAAAAAGTGAGTTCCAGATGTTCTATTACCTTTAAACCAAAATAACTCAAGCTTGATCTCAAACTTCCAGCCTGAGAATGCCAAAGAACAGGTGATGAGAAGACAAACGGGAACTCTGTAGCTTTTCCAATTCATATGGCTGCATAAGCAGAGTAAACCTCTTTACGTTTCTTGTCTGGAAGGAAAAAAAAAAATTGTCTGAAAGCGGGACTACGACGAGCAGGGCAGGAACCAGCCCAGGTTACCCAGACGGAAAACCCAAGGCCTAAACCGTCACACTGCTTTTGTTCTGTTCTCAGAGTCTAAAACAAAACACACAACAGTCCCACGCCACGGAGGCCGAGGAGCTTGCCGTCTAGTTGTTCCCAGAGCCACTTTATTTTATTTTTGCAATGACCATAGCGTTCACTTTTCACATTTAATTTAAAATAAATAAATATAAAAAATAACAAATAGTTGGAATCCAGAGCTTCTGAGGATGCCGGTATGTGTGAGATGAGCAGTCAGGCGGAGTGAGGGAACGAGCTCCGTCTCCCAAATGCCTGCCAGCAATTACTGTTTTCTTAAGACAGAACTTGGGAAACCTCATCAACACTTTCCAGAGTTCAGATTCTTGGAACTTGGGCCCAGAATCCAAGGAGAAACACTCGCCCTGTGTGATCGGCGCAGGTCCTAACTGTCCACACTCCACAAGTAAGCCTTAAAAGGAATCTTTTTAGAAAGAGACATTGGACATGATTTATGTGTAAACTTAAAAGAGAAATGGGGAGTTTTAAAATTCTTTTGAGTTGAAACACACACACAGCAATGAGGCCTACAACTCAAGTTTTAAAAACAGATTAATCCACAAATTCTAAGTTCTGATATAAAAGTCTTAAATAATTTAAAAAATACTGTGACCCACACACTCCCACTTTAAACTCTCATCTATACAAATTTATAGTATTTATAAATAAATCACGGGCGGATGCTCCATTGTATTCACAACAAAATCACACCAGGCAGACACATAGACCAAACTACCATTACAACTAATTACTATGAAACGTCAAACCTTAGATTTATACGTGACAGATAATTCCAATGAAACAACAGGAATTTTGGCAAAAGCCGTTTGGCTGCAACACAGGCAGATTAGGAGGTGCACTTCCAGCAGCCTATGTTCTGTTCAGGGCGGTTTCTTAGGCAGATGGGGAGATGGAGAAAATGAGTTAGTCTCCATTCCACAACGGTCTCAATTCTTTTGGTTCAGGTTCTGCAAGCGCCTGCCAGGTCCTGCCTCAGGCTCCTGTCCCCTGTGCCGACAGGGCGTTTTCACACGCAAAGCAGGGCATCTCCCACGGTCCTGGCTCAGACTGGCTGAAACTGAGGTCATTCTAAGTGGACATGATGTGTTGCCCTGGTGTCTCCCAAGGTCTCCTAGACCCAAAACAAGTTGCTCTGAAGGGAGAATGCATGACCACTGAGAGGCACTCTCCTGGGCAAAGCAGTGGGAGTTGGGGCCTAGGTGTTATCAGAGATGCTTGGCATTTGTCTGAAAGCTCCACTGGTCATGGGATAAATCAGATGTCCCTTGGGGGCTGGACTCATCCTGGAAAACTGGTCAGAACCAGTCAGCTTCACAAATGGAAGGCTTGAGGGAGGCCATCAGAGTGCACGTGGGGCTTTCCCAAACTTTCTGTCTCTGTCTTGGCTGCGTGGCCCACAAGGCCCTAACAACCTTTTCTGCAAGCAGAAACCTGTGGACTGTACTGGTCCGGTCAGGCCGCCACTCTCGAGCACTAGTCTGTGGTTGTCGTTTAGAGGTCAGAGACGACTCAGGGGATGCCCTCCTTCCTCTGGCAGCACTGCGAGGGCGGCGCTGACCAATCGTAGATGTAGGAGAGGCGCAGCCTCACCTCCTCCTTGCAAAGGCGGCCCTCGCGCGTCAGCGTCTGGTGCTTCTCCAGCATGTCCTCCAGACTCTGCTTGTGCGTCACCAGGTACTGGTTGCTGCAGCCTCGGGACTTATACTCCGTGTCAAAGCGTGGGTCGTGCTCCCGCTGCACGTCCACGGGGGCTAGCCACGCGCCCAGTGACACGTCCTCGCTGTGCCATGCGCGCAAGTATTCGCGGCTGAGGCGCAGGTAATGCACCAGGTCCGCTGAGAGCACGTAGCCGCCACCCAGCGCATAGGGCAGGTAGTAGTCGCAGAGCTGCCAGGCACCCTCACGCCAGCGGCCACCGGGCTTGACGCGGCCACGGCCCGAGAAGAAGCCCCAGTAGAGGCGGCGGCGGTGTGGCAGGTCGCGTGCGCGCAGCTCCGCCACAAGCGCATCCAGGCGCGCGAACGAGTCATCGTCCGCCTTTAGTACGAACTCGAAGGCCACGTGCTCATCGAGCCAGGTCAACATGGCCAGGACCTTGGCCGTTAGGTTCTCATAGGAGTCGCGCAGCGCCGGAAGCAGCAGGAGGTCACCGTGCCTCGCCTGCTCGCGCTCTAGGGCGCGAAGCTCGTCAACGCCCAGGCCTGCTGTGCCCACGGCAAAACGCGCCCACACATCACCTGGGCTGCCGCGCCGTGCACCCGACAGCCACGTGCTGCGGACTATGCTGCGCCGTTCCGCCGCCCGAGGAGCGCTGGCTACCAGCACCGCCAGTAAGGTTGGGGACGGGGCGGCGCGAGGGCCGGGCCCCGCGAGCGCTGGGGAGCGGCCTAACCGCGGGCCCTCGGCCGTGCAGCGAGCCAGGTAAAGCAGGGCGGCACCGCAGAGCACCAGGCCGCCCAGGCCCAGCGCGGTCCGGTGCCTCCACGCCCGGCGCAGCAGCTTCATGGCGCCCGCGGCGGGGCCGGAGGCGGCGGCGGTACCGGTGGGCCTGAGTGCGCAGGCGCGGGTCCCGCAAGCGGCGCGCGTGCGCACGGCGTCCAGGGGTGCGCGCCTCGGCCGGGCGCTGCCGTACGGCCGCGGGGCTCCTTCCCAGGCGTCGAATACCTGGGGGCGGCAGGGTGCGACTACCAAGGACCGTGCCCCTCGCGGTGGCAGGAGAAACACCGAAGCACCGAGTATCACACGCAGGGCGCTAGAAGGCCGGCGAGCTAGCAGCGGCAGCGGCGGAGGCCGGCCCGGACACCACGTGGGCCTGCGCTTCCCTCTCATTGGTCGACTAGGGAGCGGTTGCCCGACTACTTCCGCCCGGAGGGAAGATGGTGGCGCCCGAACCTCCGCAGTGACCCAGTGCAGCCCCACGGCCGGTTGCCCGCCTCTTCCCGGAAGAAAGATGGCAGCGGCCTGAGTTGAGTACGGTTGGAGGCGTCACAGGCGCTCGCGTCTCTGCTTTTCCGTTCCTGGTCAAGGAGAGTGAGGCCGGTGAGTGAGGGGCCCCGGGCGGTCCTGGCAGACCTTGAGCCAAACGTCTCTGAGAATAGCTTTCTCGTCCGCCGAATGGCAAAGCGTGGGAATCGGAGGCCGAGGCGGCCGCTACCGCCGCTTGCCCTGTGCTGGGGGTCATCGTCCGTTTTGGTCCGTCCGCCCTTTCTGGGCGGCCGAGGTGGGGCGATAAGTCGTGGTCTTTAGCCCTTGCGTTGATGTCTGCTGGGTGCCTTCCAGCATGGAAATGACTGTCACCTGCTCTCCCTGAGGACGTCATTCAGGCCCCGTACCCTCTCCGTCCCGGGCTCCGGACGGTGGTCGCCAGGTCTGCTTTCGGTCTGGGCGTCGGGAAGGGCGGACGACCCGACTTTGAACGTCCTCAGAGCTGGCTGAGTCCAGAACTGGAGGGGCTTGACGAGTGACAGTTGTCGCAGCCACCACAGCCCAGGAGCGACGCTCGGCCCTGGGATAATTTTCTCCGGTCTTCATGGCCGCTCTGCAGAGGAACTCCGTAGCGCCAGCCCAGCCTCTCAGCCCTTGTGCCCAGGTTCTGTGCTCCTTTCCCACCCACCTGTCAAAAACTACCAACGCCACAGTGAAACTTAGGTCAAGGCGGACTGATTGCTAAAGCTAAAGCAGTTGGTGGACTCTGGCATTTACCAGTGGGGTGACCTTGGACAACTGCTTCAGTGTCTTCCTTGATAAAATGTGGATGGTGAATCGAAATTAGTAGGATCTGGTAAAGATTATGGAGTTCTGGTGACACAGTGGTGAAAGCATTTGGCTGCTAACAAAGAGATTGGTGGTTTGAGCCTACCACCTGCTCTGTGGGAGAAAGCTGAGATGCTCTACTAATGTAAAGATTTACAGCCTTGGAACCGTGTGGGGTAGTTCTAGTCAGTCCTATAGTCAGAATTGACTCCAGGGCAATGGGTGTAGTTTTTGGTGAAAATTGGAAATTATGTACATAAAGCCCTTAACCAGTATGTGTGTCAGTAGAAGTTGTTACTGACACATTAGCATTACCACTGGTAATGGCATTTGAGTTTTTAACCACAGAGATACTTTGTTTCACTGGAACCAAAACCCAGGGGTGGCCAAGGCGTTATTACCTCTGCTTAAGCTAGAAATCCTGGCCTGGTATTTCCAACAGTTGTTCATTTTGTTATCATTTCCTAGAAAGTACTCAAAGGTTTGTTAGCTACTTAGTAGGAACTGAAGAGCCGTGGTGGAACAGTGGTTAAAGTGCTTGGCTGCTAACTAAAAGGGATGACAGGTTACGACATTCTTGGCAAGTCACAGGATATACTCAGGGAGTGGTTCCAGCCCAGACAGCACAGAGGAGCCATGATGGGGTATATCGGGGGAGGCAGGTCTCCACCTTCAGACAAGAAGCAGCTCCCAGGCCCCGGGAGAAGGGGCACAGGCTGCCTTTGGAGAATCACCCATCACACATGCGAGATGGACCCACTGAGAGAGAGGGTGTTTGGGTCAAGAAGGAGACTAATGCACAGAGGGGTCAAGGTCAATAGGATGCAGCCAGTCCGGAGCAGGCAGGGGAGAAGAGACTCATTAGGGAAGCAGGTGGTGGCGTTTGCGTGCAGTGAAGACTAGTGACCCCCAGTGGGGGCCCTCTGCCACTCTGCCGCCGGCTGGCTGCACTGGGGCTGCATGTGCTGGCCATGCAGCTGAACTGGACTGGCTGAATGAGTGGGCCCTTCCCTCAGGGACAAGAAGGCCTGTAGGCATTGGCCAGGGGGGACAGGCAGTGCACTCTTTGGGATGCATTAATGTGAGACTTCCCTTGAGCAGCTAATGGAGAACTGAGGAGGCAGCTGGAGGGGAGGGCAGAATCGCTGTAGGAGGCTGAGCCCAGGTGGAAGGCGCTTGTGGGGAAGGGCATGAAGCACGTGCGGTGAGATCTGGCTGTCTTCTGAGACCCTTGTGCCCTTGCATGAACATGGTGTGTGGGTGCAGGGCCACTGGCACAGGTGCAGAGCGCTACAGGGGCATGAGGGTCCTCACAGAGCCTCACCCTGTAGTGGGAGGCCAAGTGCCTAGGTCACATAGCACATGGGGACGTGGCTTTTACCTGCCCTCAAAGTGCCAGCCTTGGGAAGACAAACTAGCCCACGGAGGCGCTGGCTATCCTTGCCTTAGGGCTGGGCAGGGTCTGAAGGGGATAGCTAGGCCCTTCTGTTCAGAATGCCTTTTGATGGTGACATTGTTACCTAAGTAGGAGAGACATGCCATGTTTGATGTCAGACTTACCACTGAACTGTGACTTCTTCAGTGGGGCATTTGCTGTAGTCCTACTGGGCGGTGGACCCCCCCATAGCCTCTTTGTGAAGTTGACCCACTCTCCCTGGGTCTCATACCTGCAGCTGCTGAAGGGAGCCGAGTCCTGTGGCCTGGGAGGTGACATGCTCAGAATACATTGGTTCTGATCCTTGTAATCCTTCTCCTGTGCCCTTTCTCCTCTGCAGAGTCTGCCCACGTCTGCAGGCTGTCCTGGTGCTGTCCCAGCTGACAGTGATGTCCTGCCTGGCAATGACGTCCCGGCTGGCCTCCCCCTGCAGCGGAGCCCTGCGCTGCCTCTGGCTCCTGGGCATGCTCCTCCTGGCGGAAGTGTCCACACGACCCGCCAACCACTCAGCTGTCCGGGAGAGAGTGACCAACAAGGAGGAGAATGAGATCCTGCCCCCAGACCACCTGAATGGGGTCAAGATGGAGATGGATGGGCATCTCAACAAGGAATTCCACCAGGAGGTCTTCCTGGGCAAGGCCCGTGATGAGTTTGATGAGGACTCGGAGCCTCGAAGGAGCCGGAGGAAGCTGATGGTCATCTTCTCCAAGTAGGGGTGTGAGGGAGTGTGGGGTGCTGTAGGGCAAAGGGGGTGGGATGGCTGTGGGGGCCCAAAAGAATTGATAGCTGTGGGGGCCAAGCCCACTCCCATTCAGGGTCAGCTCCAGATTTTTCTCTTGTCCCTGGCTCCTGCAGAGCCTGCATGTGGAGCCTGGGTGTGGAGCCTGGGGCAGGAGGCCTGCCCCACCCTCCAGCCTCCTTCCTCTCTCCGCAGGGAGCCTGGGCACCCCCAGCAACACTCACTCGGGCTCTTCATCCTAGCCAGCACACGGGGGCAGAGGCCTGACAGAGTCAGGTTGGGGATAGATAAGGGGTCCTTTCACCCCGTGCAGGGGTCAGGAAGGCCTGAGGACTGGCCCTAGGAGAGGGACAGTGCATGCTCTGGGCTCTTGGGAGAAGGGCACTCCAGGATGAGGACACAGGCTCTCCTGTGGGATGCCTTTGGCATTTCCGAGATTATAATGGGAGCTAAAGGCTCAACTTATGGATTTGGTCAGAATCTAGTTGGTTCATTTACATGGTGTTTGATGTGTGAGAGTACACGTGGCTGTGTGCTGGGGCCAGGCAGGGAGTTGGCTGGGCCAGAGGCATCCTGAGCTTCAGTGCACCGAGCTCCTCCCCACCACCCTGTGAGCACCACCTGCCTGAGGCTGCCGTAGCTCTGTGGCTATAGACACAAGACACAACTGCTCAGCCCTGGACAGGGAGCTGCAGGGAGTGTTAATCTCCCCTGTTAAAAACAAGTGTGAACATCCGTTGTGCAGGAGGCCCCCAGACACCCATAGTCAGCTGGGATGAGCCTGGCCTCAGTCCTTCTTTGTGTACAAGCATCTGCTGTCACTCACAGTGTTTGTGAAAGGTGTATGAGCTACACATCCTTTTTCCTGTCAGTTTTCAGTACCAAAAGTAAGTAGAAAATTCCTTGTCTCATATTTTAATCTTCTTATACTTTTTCATTTTTTTATTTGTATAGCTGCTCATTGTGAGAGGAGCAGCTGTTCAGCTTAGGTGGTTTCTAGTATTTTTGTGTGGTTGATTTTGTTCACTCTGAGTGTTTCTGGTAGATTCCTAGAAAGGAGGCTGCGTGGTCATTGTTGCAGCCACATCGCTGCCTGGAGCCCCAGCCGGGTTGGCACTCCAGATGCTGTCAGCTCTGAGGTGATGGCCACTGGCTCCTTCGTCTCTTTGTTGGAAACTGTCTGTGATTTAACTTGGTTTGTGGTACATTCTTGCTTTCCAGAAAATTTTTATTATGAAATGAGAGCATTTAGTGTTTTACCTTTCTCTCTTTTGACCTGTGTCCTTCTCAGACTTCTCATTCTAGGTTTTAAATCCACTCCTCATTTTCCCTGTAGCTCTTCTGTGGTGCTGTGCTCACATTTAGGTTTCTGGTATGGAGTTGAGGCTGTGTAGGTGAGGCATTGTCTCTTTCCCCTGTAGGGTTCTTTCAGCTGATACCTTTGATTGATGTTGGCCTGCTGGTGTTGAAGTGACCATCGCTGCTGCTGGTCCTGGCTGGCTGGTTCTACACACACATAGGTCTTGTGGCCAGTAGGGGCCAAGGCCATTGGGGGTAGGGTCTGGGCCATTGGGGGTGGGGGTGTTGTGGGAGTTTGGGGTGGGGCTAGGACAGAGAGACCATTGGGGATGAGGGGAGTGAGATGGAGGTGGGGTTTGGTGCAGGGCCGTGTAGCTGGAAAAAGCTTTGGGAGCCCTTCCTCCAGTCCTAGCCCCACCCCACCCTACACTCTGCACCTTATTGTCTCCCTCTGAGGGTGGGCGTGGTGATATCACGAGCCTGGCTCCTAGCTGCCCTGCATGTGTCTTTTGCTCTTGTGAGCTTTGCCATTGCAGATTCGAGAAGGTGAAGTTGTCTGACTTGTGCTCCAGCATGGCTCCTCGGACTGCATATAGAGAACAAAGGGTGTGGAGTTAGAAAGCCTGGCTGTGGCAGTGACCCCGGGCCATGGAATAGACACAGTTGGGTCCCGGGCTTGCTCTGAAATGGGGCGGCAGACTTTGCTGATGGATTGAGGGGATTGTGTATGAATGTCTAGGTTTGACCTGAGCAGCCAGGAGGGTGGCGGATGGTTCAGGGGGCACTGCAGCCTGGTGTGGCTGCCGAGTTCTTAGTTCAGGGCCCACCAGGCTGCAGGCAGGTGTGGACATCTTCACAGTGTGAAGGGTGGAGTCTGGGGCTGGATGGATGATCACAGAGAGTGGACAGGAAAAGATGGAGCCCTCACCCAGCCAGGTTCAGAGGTCAGGAGAAGAGGAGCCAGGAAAGGAGCTGCTGCTGGGGAGGGGAGAGGGTATAGGAGGGGTCCCAGGAGAGAGGGTGTCAGGGAGCTGGGTGGGGCCAGGGTACAGGAGGTGGAGGCTATGAGGTGGTGTGAGGGAGCCAGGAGAGGCAGGATATAGCAAGGTAAGGAAAGCCAGGGGCCAGGGGAGGGCATGTTGGGGAGACAGGTGAGGACAGGGAAAGGGAAGGGTACCTGGGAGGGGTGTAGGAGAGCTGGCCAAAGATGAGGTGCACTGATACATCATGCATATGTTGCCATGTAAAGTCGTTTGAGTTTCCTGAGTCCTAATGGCAGTGGACTCAGGAAACTTTCAGGACCTCCATTTGCTGATGTGACATGACTCAAAATGGGAAGAAACAGCTGCAAATACCCATTGTGGTGGTTAAAGTTGTTGTCAACTTGGTGGACCTGATTGATTGGCTAGGCAGCTGGATGTAGTTATTCCCTGTGGTGAGGTTGACAGTCAGTTCTGTGGTAGAATCTACTGGAGCATCTGAGTAGCTGCTTTAGAGATGTGGTTTGCTTTCAGTATATAAGCAGCAGCTTTGAAGAAGGTCTCTAGCTTTTGGGCACACTTGAACCCTCCATGTAGCCAAGTCTTCATTCAGCAGCCTGCTATGCTCTGCTGATCTTGGGACTTTTAATGGACTTATATTGGTGGCCTGCCCTGTGGTTCGGTAATATCCGGACTGTGCCTTTTCACTTGTTAACCTTGGATTTGTCAGCCTCAGCAGCGATTAGCTGCTTGAGTGAAGAGATGCATCTAGCTTCAGTGGGCCAGGAGCGAGATGCAGAGCTAAAGCCCAAGGTTGAGGGGGTTTCACCCAGCCCCTAGGGCCCTGGCACCTAGAACTTCTAACCTCTAAAATTATAGGTTATAATTATAGGAGAATAAACTCGTTTGTCGAAGCCATCCTGTTTGTGGTATCTTCTGTTAGAATGGTACTAGGTAACCAAAACTTCCATTAATAATCAGAATATGGAATGTACAAAGTATGAATTCAGGAAAATTAGAGTTTGTCAAAAATCGAATGCATAAAGATCCATGTCCTAGGCTTTAGTGAGCTGAAATGGATAGATGTTGGCCATTTTGAGTCAGACAGCCACATGATCTATTATGCTGTGAGTGACAAAGAGGAATGGTATGGCATTCATTGTCACAAAGAATGTGTTTCAAGATCTATCCTGAAGTACGGTGCTGTCAGTGATAGGATAGCATTCATATGCCTACAAGGAAGACCAGCTAATGATGTTGTTGTTGTTGTATTCTAAAAACAACAACAGATAATGATACTGTTACTCAAATTTATGCATCAACTACCAAAGCCAAAGACGAGAAATTGAAGATTTTTACCAAACATGAAATCAAGATATATTGATTATTACTGGTGATTGGAATCCAAAAGTTGGAAACAAGAAGAATCACTGGTAGTTGGAAAATATGGCCTTGGTGATGGAAATGATGCCGGAAATTCCATGATAGAATTTTGCAAGACCAGTGACTTACTCATTGCAAATACCTTTTTTCAACAACATTAATGGTAGCTATACACATGGACCTCCTCAGATGGAATACACAGGAATTAGATAGACTGCATCTGTGGAAAGAGGTGATGGAGAAGCTCAATATCTTCAGCCAAAACAAAGCTAGGAGCTGACTGTGAAACAGACCATCAATTGCTCATATGCAAGTTCAAGTGGAAGCTGAAGACAATTAAAACAAGTCCATGAAAGCCAAAATATGACCTTGATTATATCCCACTTGAATTTAGACACCATCTGAAGAATAGATTTAATGCATTGAATGCCAGTGACTGAAAACGAGATGAACTATGGGATGACTCAAGAACATCATCCGTGAAGAAAGCAAAAGGTCATTAAAAGGCAAGAAAGGAAGGAAAGACCAAAATGGATGTCAGAAGAGACTCTGAAACTTGCCTTGAACGGAGAGTAGCTAAAGCAAAATTGAAGAAATGACAAGATAAAAAAGCTGAACAGAAGATTTCATAGAGCAGGTCGAGAAGACAAAGTCAGTTATTATGATGAAATGTGCAAAGACCTAGAGTTAGAAACCAAAAGGGAGGAACATGCTCAGTATTTCAAGCTGAAAGAACTGAAGAAAAAGTTCAAACCTTGAGTTGCAATATTGAAGGATTCTATGGGCAAAATATTGAATGATACAGGAAGCATCGAAAGAAAGTGGAAGGAATACACAGAGCCCCTGTACCAAAAAGAACTGGTTGATGTTTGTCTATTTCACGAGGTAGCATTTGATCAAGAACCAGTGGTGTTGAAGGAAGAAGTCAAAGCTGCACTGAAGGAATTTGCAAAAAAAACAAGACTCCAGGAATTGACAGAATACCAATTGAGATGTTTTGACAAACTGACGCTGCACTGGAGACACTTACTCATCCCTGCCAAGAAATTTGGAAGACAGCTACCTGGCCAACTGACTGGAAAAGATCTATATTTGTACTTATTCCAGAGAAAGGTGATCCCCCAGAATGTGGAAATTATCAAAAAGTATCATTAATAACACATGCAAGTAAAATCTTGTTGAAGATAATTCAGAAATAGTTGCAACAATATATTGACAGGGAACTTCCAGGGTTCAGAAGAGGATGTGGAACGAGTGATATCATTGCTGATGTCAGATGGATTGGCTGAAAGCAAAGAATACCAGAAA